AGAATGCGGCTCCCTTTGGGGACATTGTTATAAATTCCTTTGGTGAAAAATGTGAAAAATGCGCCATGTAAATTATTTCTGCGTCATTTTTTTTGGCCCGCCCTTTCCCCGCTTTTATTGTGCATGATAAATTTTTATTGTAATTGGCTGTTGATTTATGGGCCATGGCTAACATAGACTCCGGGGAGCCGAATCTCGGACCCAGACTCGCTCCGGTCCGATAACAAGTGCCAGATAAACGATTCTCTTTCAATTTGCCATTAATTAGGCGGGACAGCGGTGGCAGCAACGAGCGCCTCCAGAAGAGGCTCGAGATCCCAAATGGTTGGGGCATAAAAACTAATCGCGGCATTACAGAAATCATCTATGAAATTGCGCCCGTTGATGCGTAACCTGGGCCGCACCCACCCAAGCAGGAAGTGCAAGGCTGGATGGATGAAAACCCCCCACATCCCACATCCCACCCGACCACATCCACATCAAAATCCAAATCCAGAGGCAAATCAGAGAACCCACAGCTGAGGAGGCCTCATTGTTTGTTAGATGCTCCGCAGTCAAACACCATAAAACTTTATGAACCCACCATCCCACCATCCGAGGAGCAGCTTGAAAAGGTCTTGGAGCTCCTGCCTGGAAGTGGCAGATTTTTTAATGCCTTGCCAAAGATTTCATGGTAATTTCGCCGGGTTATAACAATTTACAAATTATGTAATCGAAATTTATTGCCCAGCATAGCTGCCGTTCCTCGCTGCTCCATATCAGCCTAATCCTCCTGCTCCTGCTGCCGCCAGCCATTTCTGGCAGCTCCTCCATTCTGCGTTCGCGATCCTCGCCTGACTGGGTGGGCCGCGGAATCGGAATCTCGGCTTTGGACATGCACAGGTGGCCCTGATGGCCAGCCTTTTGATGTGCGCCACATTTGACTGCCGGCCAGAAGGAACGGACCAACGAGGATTCGACTGAGATACTTTTGAGATTAGCGGGAGCGGAGTTCGGTTCAGAATTTAATAATACATTGTTGCTATCTGAACTTCTCATACAGCGAAATCAACTGGTGTAGGATTTTGTTATTAAACATTAAAAATTATGTAAGTTAAAAAAAGTTATAATTCTAAATAAAAGAATGGAGTTAGTTTGATTATAAACCTATCAAATATCACACATGAATTTTATATAATTTATGCATAGCAAACACCAATTTCAATAATAGTTGTTTGATAATCGCTTTCCCTTCCCACAAATACTCATCGAATGAGACGTTTAGTGGCTCCAATAAAACCCATTCAAGTGCAACTTTTGGCGATAGAATCCTTCGAAGAGTCAACTGAACAGGAAGACAGCACAAATTAAGTTATACTAATTCCCCACTCGAAGCCTGTCCACGGCCATTAGTCGAGTATAGTCTCCACCTGTGAGGCAGTGGCTCCGAAAGTTCGCCGCAGATAAATGGCAATTTGTTCGCATTAACCTGGAGTTACGCCCACAGATTTGCCGTCCGCCCCTTGCGGCGCATAGAGCCGTGACCCATTAGTTACGGCACTTTCCAAACAAACTCCAATAATGCAGCCATTAAATGCCAACTATTCTGCCATCAAGTGCTTTAGTTTGACATAAATCTCGAGCGGATGTCGAAACTTTTGCCGCTGCCACAAATCTGTGCGGCTCTATTGCCCACCCAACCACCCAATCACCCAACCACCTACTCCCGAGTGGCCACCAACCATCCACCACCCACTGCACACTCAATCCTGGAATCCGGCAATCCAGCAGGATCAGCGGGCCGTGTCCTGCGAGAGCTTATGTTGCAGCTTTAATTAACGCCAGGTTTTCGACTGCCCCCCCTTCGTGTCTGGCCACCCTCCGTTCGAGTTTGGCCAACAGGTGCGGAAAGTTTTGACCAACTAGCACCCTTGTCCTAGGCCTCCCCATTCAACACCCTTCTACACTGAAAAAAAAGTTGATAAATATTGAAAGCCAAAGAGTTCAATTTTAATGTTTTTGAGTTGATAGATGATATTATATAAAGTAATATAATTTTAAAACTTCAAGTATAATTATTTCAATACCTGGAGATTAAGCCATATAATTTATAAGGTACATAATGTTTTATTTATTTTACATTTAGTGTTGATTATTTAATAGAGATATACCATATTGGTTATAGAATTTCCCACCGTGCACACATTTCGATTCCCTTCCCAGAGTATTTTTATTTAATTTAGAGTCGCGCATTGCTGGCCAGGACTTTCATGTTGTAATTTCCTCAAATTTACGAGTTTGCTTAGCCCGGATACGGGTTGCCAGAGCATAGTGCAGGACTCACTGGGGTGGTGGTGGGTGGTGGGTGGTCTGTATTTTTTTGGGGAAGGCCGAGCGGCGGAGCCAGGATTTACGACTCTGCTTGGTTGGGTTAGTTTCACTGCCTTTCGGGTTTTCCGGATCCCGGGCCTCCGTTCTCCGTTCTCCGCTTCGGTCCGCTGCGGCTTGTTAGCGCCTCGACTCTCATTTTATTAGCAGTATCCTCTAGTCCACCACCCCCTGCCTCCCCTCCTTATCCTGCTCCCCTCGTTATCCCTCGCAACCAGATTGCTGTAAATGAGCAACTTTTTGCCCCTAAATCCAACAAACAGTGGGTGTTTGGGTGAGGCGTGTGTGCGAGCTTTTTGGTAATTTCGCATGCAGTTTATGGCTAGGCATAACAACCAAGGCAACAACAACAACACCATAAGTCGGGGCTTAGCTCCTGCAGCTGTTAGAAGCCCCATTGCATACAACATACAACCTAAAGCCACCCCCTCCAGCACTTTCCACGCCCACTTCTACGCCCCTGACACTCGCAGGTTGATGACGCCGCTTATAAAAGTTGATCAAAATTATTACTACGCCCGGGAAAACATTTCGGGGATGCTGTGGGGATGAGAGGTCAAGTATGGAGCCCTTGGCAATACCCTTTTTCAAAAACTGGCAACTAGGAATTTTTACTTTTTTTTTGTAAACTGTTTTAATTGACTAATTTATTCCTTTTTATTCATTCTCATATATAAAATATATATTTTAAGTTATTGCTTCTGTATGCAATTAATAACTTAAATGAAAACAATGTCTTTTAGTTATCGTAAACAGATTACAGAATCAAATAAAATGTTAATCAGAAGGTTATGGCATTTACTAAATTTTGACTGAATCTTCATAGTACTTATTTAAATTGGTCTTTCCAAAGAAGAATTCCTTAAAAAACCAAAGGTCAGCTAAAAAAGAAACTCCTAGCGATACCCTACCATCACATAAAAAGGTAAAGAGGTGAAGGTGGCCAAAAGCAGCTCTCGAGCTTCTTCAATTCCCCCAATCTGCTGGAGGAGGGACCCTGTTTCGGGACAATTAGAGTGGGCCATTGCCATAAAGTTATAGAATTCATGGCGCACGTTTTCCACAACGCATTTCGGAGTTTACTTATTACTGCAGTTTATCTGCCCGACGGGCAAACTTTCGGGCCACGTTTCATTAGCCATATGCTTGGATGCTTGGGGGGCAGGAAAAACCCTTCTCCCCTAGATTTTCATTCAGTTGCGTAAGAGTGCTTGGCTTTTTACGAGTGCACATTCTGTGCGCGATATTAAACCCATATAACGAGGCGGCGGCAAGTGGCATGTGGATTGCACACGTATAGTTGTAGTTACCGATGCAGAGAAGTAAGCAAAATTCCAATTAATTGCCTTAAGTCGTAAAAATGTAATAATTTTATGATTCTCACTGAGCAGCTTGGCATCTCGCCGAAAAAAAATCATTATTTTAATTTATCTAATCCCGCAATTTATTGTATAAACAAGGTTACTGAATGGAAAGTGCAAGGCATTAAACTAAGCTTGGGGGAAACTTTAATAACTAATTATTAAAATTAAAAAGAAAATGTTTTGATAAGTGAAAATATTTAAATAAAATACAAACAAAGTGGTGGGTTAGGAAAACTCAATATATGTATTAAAACCTTACTTTAGTATTGGTAGGCTCAAAAAAGAAATGCTTTCTAAACACGCAAATAATCTGCTAAAGATATGTTACGCATACGCCCTGTTAACTGGGTGAGCCGTTGTCCAAGTTACGTATGCAAATGAAACCGATCGCCGGCAAATGCTAATGAAATGAATATTAATACGCAACGCGGTAAACACTGCCCTCTGTGCACCTCTTGCATGCTCGTCGGCTAATTAAAGTAATAATGTTAAGTGGAAAACACGATCGAATCTATGTCTTTTCCGCATTTCGCGCCGTTGCATAAAATGTTGAACAAAGCGCGAAAAGCGCACCGGATTAGATTGTTTTGGATTGGGATTGCGATTGGGATTGAATTCAAATTCGAGCGGTGGCGTATGTGAGATTCCAGTGGCGGTGCCACGGATGGCAATGGTAATTCCGTTTCGCCGGATCCCAGAGCCAGTCACCAAATGCCGCTTCCGATTCAGCGATTCGACAATTCGGGAACTTCAAGAGCAGAGAGGCTGCGGAGTAAATTGTTTTGTTGGCGCAAAATACTCGGAACGCTCCAATGAGCAGCGACCGCGCCCCAAGTTTAGGCAAACACTGGGAGAAAGTTCCCTTTCGAATAATAAAGTTAGTCATGTCAAATTGGTTTCAAAAGGAATATGATTTTTATACATTTAAAATATAATTTAAAACACATTTTAAATATAGAAATGCTATTATAAACTCATTTATCAACAAGACAACCAAATAAGCAGATTATAAATTGAAATTGTGACTTTCTGTTTCAAGAATGAAGCTTAGTTTGTTTTGAGATACTTTCCACTTTACATATGAAAACCCCTAGTGTTTCTCTCAGTGCTCCATCAGCAGCAAGCTGTAAGCAACAATTAGGCACACGTAACTCTGGACGCGACTGTGGTGCTGCACATGCAAATGTTGCGGCTCCGTGGAGGCTGCAATGCAATCGACACCGCCGCCGATGGAGATAATGACGAATGGGTGGATGGATGAGAGGGAGCTCCATAAGTACGCCACACGCGGCCATGGTGCACTGAACCTGATTACCGCATCCATATAAAAGCGCCGTCGCTACAAGCCGGCCCACACAGTGCTGAAAGCGAGCGCGGGCCACTCGGTGGTCGAGTTGGACAAACTAAAGGATTAATTAAAGGACCTGCTTGACCAGCGTCAACAGAAACAATAACAACATCTGCATCGGCATCGGCATATTGACCAAAGTGAGTCAAGCTACAGTTAAACAAATGCATTGAACAAAAACAAACGAAATGGTTTAAATAAATTTGTGAATTTTAAAATATAAAATAGTTAATATTTTAAAACGATTGTGAAAGGTGTAGAAAAATTAAAAAATTTTTTAATCCTTTAAAAAGAGAAGCAACAATTTATCCGAAGAAGACTGAATATTTTCTCTGATTCTGGTTTCCTCCAAAAGATGTCATCGCGGAGTCCTTCGATGACAGGCAAGGTCCTGGCCATTATAATCCTGCTGATAGCGAATTCCGGAATCCAGGCGAGGCACTCCGGCCACCGGCGCCTCATCATCCACGTGCCGGTGAAGATGAAGACGCACCACCACACCCACACGATCTACAAGGTGGTCCACGGATCGCACGGCGGCGGGGGAGGCGGAGTGAAGCACCAGACGGTGTACAAAGTGCTGGGCTTCTCCACACACGGAGGCGGCATGTCCAAGGGCGGAGGAGGTGGCGGCGGCCACGGAGGAGGCGGCAGCCACGTGAGCTACGACCTGGGCGGAATGGGCCATGGTGAGATTACGTACGAGGACATGCACGGATGCGAGAGTGGCAAGGTGGCTCCGGCGGCCAGGGACATGATTTTCAATCACTACTCGCGGCACGGCGGGGGAACCCACGAGGATTACGCCGAGGAGCTGGACGACTTCGTAGACCTAAGGGACGACTGGTTGTGAATAAAGAGACGTGTGTGTGCAAAATCCCCACCGATTAATTATAAAATTCCAGGCACCATCACCAGGGGATTCCCCCTCTGCACTTGCACTACGAGTACGAAATTGTTGACGTAACTCGGGGTCTTCAGCACCGCCAAAATTCCAATTCACCGGAATTTGTGTCTTTGTCTTCGGCTGCCAATTCGCATTTGTATTGTTTAATTAGAAACCAGTGGGCTGAGGAGGGGGATGGGTGGCCATGGTTGGGTGGAATTGGTGGAGTTCCGAGTGGCGAAGACCTAAACTTCTTGGCTGCATTCGCGCACTTGAGGAAAACTTTAAGTATTTGCATAGCTCTCGACTCGACCATGCGGCATATTTTAGTGGACAATTAAAAGAAACGAGTGTCAATGGGCAGACAAGTTTGGGTGAAGAAAAAACATAAGAAAGATACCATAAGGAAGCTACTATCGAAAAGTGCTCGAAAAAATGTAATCACCAGGATGCTTAACAATATTTAATCTTCAAATCACAATCAGTGCTAAATAAGTTGATAAGTAGTTATGTCTTGATAGGAATGTAAGAGAATTCTATTTTAAGTTGTTCAGTGATCTAGATTCTAAAGCTTTTTCACATTTGGGATTTACTGGAATAAGTGTGAGTTCCCATTCGCGATTTCCCAACACCCATTGATCAATCAATTTAATCGCTGCCAGGAAATCCATCGCCATCCGAACTGGAGCATCCAGATTGGCATCGGATGGCCGGCGCCTGACATAAGGCAGATTGATCACTGGCCGCCCGGCCAGTGCTCCTGGCAGATGGCTCCGATTCCGATGCAGATAAACGGAGTGCAGATTCCCCCCCAGATTCAAGACGAGGGGCCAGGTAGACACAGGTGCCGCCGTTCGCTGAGCGCAGAATAATTTGCGTGTAATTGAAGGCGACAGCGTGTCACGGGTCGGATGATAAATGCGTCTGTCCGCTCCGCTCCGCGAGGAGGAAAACCCGATCCGATCCAGCCCGATCGGATTGGTCCCAATCCCCATCCCCATCCCCAGCTTTATCTCCATCCCAGCTCATAAAGAGTCGCCACGGGTGGCCACTGGTCGGTGGTCACTGGTCGCACTTTCGGCTGGCGCCAACTGGTCAGCCCAAATGGATGGGGGCTATTTAAAGGCATTTACCTGGTAATGACATTTAAGGCCGGCGATATTAATCGCTCCACCGCCGCACCGGCAACATTGTTGCAGTGAAACAAATTAAAGCCGCAGCACACGCACCGCCGCCAGATGAGATGAAGTTGTTGGTTCCGAGCCACGTCTAATCCACCGGACACGTGGTAAAGGCTGGAAATCAACTGAGCGGATTAGGCATTGAGCCACTGCACGGCGAAAATTTGGGGAGATTTTGAAAGTCTTTATAATACAAATTCAGTTCAACAAAATTATTATATTGGAAAGGTAGGATTTGAAAGGATATTTTTAAGATCCATGCTTGATAGAGATAAACATTTGTAAGAATTTATTTAAAAGACCCAATATGAGCATATACAAATTGAAATATATTTAAAGAATTTTTAATTAAAACGCATTCTGTGAATTCTACACTTGAATACGAGAAGTTATAGCTAAACTCATTTCTGACTTTCCCTACTGAGATAAGCAAACTGGCTTCCAGTGACAGGCAATTTAAAAACTAGAGCTATCCAGTGCCAAGAGAACCTCTTTCGCTTTTTCGCTCTGTATGAGCCACTGAGCCAGTGAGCTGCTTATGTCCACCGATGACGAGCTGAGTCCGCAGAGCTTTGTCCATCAGAGACTCGGCTTTTGGCTGTGTGTGCCCCTCAATGTCTGTCTTTGGCTGGCTTTATTGGATACGTTAAGCCTCTGCACATATTTGCATCCTGGCTGGGAGAATGGCCAGCGGCAACAAAGCGTAAAACGATTTGGCCAAACCAAATAGCAGTGGGCCCAGGACAAGTCCTGCAATTCCGGCAGTGGATACTGGATACGTAGCATTGGAATGGGTATTTGAGTTACCTTTACAATATTTGGCCGATCCCAAATGGCCTCCAAATGCTAAATACATTTTGTGTCGTTCCGTTTGCCGGCATTTGATTTGCTTTTCACTCGCCAGCCTGCGGTCTAAATAAAATGAAATGTATTGATTTTGGCAAATGGCTTTTGCACGGCCAGCTAAAACCTTTGTTCTCGATTTCCTCTAAAGCGGAACCTTTTTTCATGAACTAGATAAAAAAGGTGCTTTACATTTTACAACTTCCAGATTTTGATATTTGATTATATACCTCAATTCCGTAATTCCTTAAGGGGCACAACTAGTGTGAAGTTTTAAAAAAATCAAAAAATTTTTTTTTTTCATATTTCGGTAGATTACACCTTTTAAAATAACATATTAAAATTTAAAATCGATATCTCAAATAGTTTTTGAGTTATAACAATTTTAAGAGCAGCCGCTCTCATAGCAGTGCAAACGATCATTTTATCTTTAAACGCGTTTTTCTCGAAACAGCATTTTCCAAATTTGCTGCAGTGATAACTCAAAAACTTGTGATCCGATCACTACCAAATTTTTTTACATGTTCTTTATATAGTTCTACGTACCATGAACTATCGGTTTTTTGATCCGATCAAAAATCGAATTTTGGCAGGCCAAAAACGACCAAAATTTTGGTTAAAATTCGATTTTTTTTTTTTAAAACGCTGCCATTTTGTCATTTTTTGATATTTTTTTTTATCGTAGTTCATGGTATGGAAAATATTATCTAGTTTCACGAGAATTTTTCATTTTTTGATTTCGTCCACGGAGAGGGCCGGAATCACTGCAGCAGTTGAGGCACTTTTTTTTTTAGCGCCGTTGGAGATCGACTATAACTTAAAAAATATTTAACTTTTTTCTTTAAAAATTTTACTATACATTCTTAAAACATGTATAAATATATTCTGAAAATTTGAAAAGAATTGATCAAGTAGTTTTTTTTATAAAAATTCCCAAACATCACCATTTTTTTAGGCCGTCACACTAGTTGTGCCCCTTAATATTGTCAGTGCAATTACAAATTGTAAATATTTATTTTATTTAATGTAAATTTACAAATTCTCTAAACAAAGCTTGCTCTAAGCTTGATAATTGCAAAGGTATAGAATGATATGTTAGTAGTAATTTCTGTTCTAAATGATTCTAGAGATCCATGTTTCAATTTACTTCCCTTTCGCACGAAACCTTTAAATTGATTTAAGCTCATTTGAATCAACCACAGGGCATTTAAATGTGTAAAGTCCCTCAATCGACGAACTTTTCCCTTGTGTGTTCATTTCGTAATTGAGGCAATCCTTTCACCGTCCTTTTCCCACTTTCACCCATTCACCCTTTCTCTGCCGTGTTTACCCTTCGTCTAGCCTTTGATTTTTCATTTTTGCTGGCAACAATTTTGGCCATTTGGCTGTTTGCTTAATTGGTTTCATTAGGGAAATATTCGGTTTTGCATCGAGGCTTAATACCATGCCACACCGGCCACTCACCGTCCTTCCTTTTCGCCGGGCGGAGGATGCCAAAAAAAACGACGCTCCTGAATCGCACCTGAAAAGACAGAGCGAATAAAAAAGTTAGAAAAAGTTGGTCCAAAGTATAAACTTTAAGGTGGAAAAGTTTCGGCCAGGTGTCTGCGTGAAATGGAAGGGAGTTAAGGTGGCGGAAAGGACCAAGATCCAGTTACACGTGTCGCAGGAGCAAAAACAGCCAGGCGGCATAATTTCCACAGAGTGACAACTAAATAAATAGACGAGGGTGCCACCGAGTAGGAGGAGTCGGTGGCAGTGGGCAAAGTTTCGGATTCAGCTCGGCGGCAAGGATGCGGGCAGCCACTCCGTCTGAGGCACTAATTTTAACACCATTAATTTGCGAGCCAGGACCAGGAGTTGTTGCCCTAGAGTTGGGCCCTCAGAGCAGAGATAGAACAGAGAATTTTAAATGAAATGGACACAAGTTTTATTGAATTGACTGTCAGGGAAAGGAGAGGAGAGCTTTCCTGCTAAAAGGAGGGAAGGAGCTGTTGCCATGAAGGCCCAGCCGGAAACGGAAACGCATTACTCTGCTCCTTTGAGCGACTGCTCCTGCTCCTCCGGATCCTCGGATCCTGTTCCCCTTGTTGTTCGTGTGGCCGGCACTTTGCCCCACACGATTACACGCAAGCTTAAAGTGCCCAAGTGGGTGGTGCACTGTGGAAAATATTATATAATAAAGCCAAGACAAAATTTAAATACATAAACTTCGAAGCCCAATAACTTTTGGATCATCTGCCTAGTACTTTTCAAAGATCAGAATCTACTTAATATTTTTAACTCTACTCTGGTGCTTTAAAGCTTCTTTTTTCTCGCAGTGCAAGTATTGGGTGGCTGGGGTCCTGCCACCAATCAAAAAGAAACGGCAGCCAACCAGAAGTAGAAGTTGTGGCAAAGTTTTTGATTTCATGATATATTTATGGGCATCCGCTGCTACTTTGGGCCCCATCCAATTCCTTTGAGTAATAAACTCGGCTCCCAAAAGGCCGAGGCTGCAAAGGATGCGGCTTCCTCTCCTAACTTTAACTAGAAGTTATTAATTTATTTCGCTTTTCAATCCCCATACATTCGGTTTAAAGTGGCTGCTGCTTCGATATTACAAAGTAGCGGATTAAAACTGGGATGATTAAGTGGTTGCTGCGGTCTGTGGCACGTACAAAACCCGCTAACACAGATAGTAATCGGTGGAAATTTATTCGAATGCCGTGCGGTTGTTGCAGGTATTTTCCGAATTTTCATCTGCAATTTGCGCACCCAAATGAACCGATAAGCCCTGACTAATGTCCCACAAAGGACTCGCAGGACAACGGCCATTCGCATCAGACGAGTGCGGAATGTGGAACTGGTGCGGGGTTTGCTAATGGAAAAAATCGAATCGGCATGGATTCAATTAAATATTAAATAAACGATATCAGCAAACAGCAATTTCCTTCCCCCACCCTCCCCCTTCGCCCGCAAACATTTGAGATTCCCCCGATGTTGAAGAGAAATGCAAACACAATTGCAAATGCCCGGGAAACTTTATGAGCCAGCGTAATCCTGCCAATTACGTGCTGCCATCTCTGTCCCCCATTCTCGCCTTCTCGCTCGCTCCTTAACCAGTGGACCTGGACAGGAGCAAACATTATCTCCATATTGCATGAAAGTATGAAATGAACCAATAAGAAATCTGCATATGCAGGATACACTGTACACTACAAAAACATTTGAGGTATCTTTTTTTTTTAATGAATAAGATTGGATCTAAGTTTAATGAGACATTTTTAGGGAACATTAAGTTTTACATTAAGGAAATTCGATTGATTTTAAATGAATTTATTCTGTGAGTTTATATAAGTTCTGGAACCATTTAAATTACAGTGTAAATAGACCACCTGAAAGGAGGCAACCCGGAACGTGTTGCTGCATGGACATTAAATTCAGATGAGAAATGATTTGAACAGGTGCTGTGCAGTGGCATCAGGAAAAGAAGCTCCAAGGTGAGGCAACTAGGAGGAGAAGGTGGGGTTGTGGGAGCTTATGGGAGCAAAAAGACTAATTATGTATTCATTAAAATGGCAAACGGCAGCAGGATGCCTGTGTCCGTGTACGAATGTTTGTGCGGAGCATTTGCATCCTTCGCTCCGAAGGGTTGGCAGAAGGTGAGCAGTCGTGAATGCATTTGGCTGGAATATATTCCACATAATGGCACCAGTTTTTGTGTGTGCTTGCAGGTCGGTTCTCACATTTTGATTATATCCACCTCGGCTTGATATGGAATGACGAATGTGTGAGCTCTTCCGCTGTCCCCCGTCGCTGGGTCCCCATGAATGAAATGAAATGCCGGGTAATGATTCCTAAATACACACATTTATCATATTTGCACGAGAGTTCTTTGAATGGAGTTGGGAAGTCTGCTAACGTGTGGAAAGCGGGTGGAACTTTGGAATCTCAACCAGTTGAAAGTTTTTTGAGCTTTGGGAAAATTTGATTAGGATATTTTAGTGGTTTGACTGGTTTATTTTCATGGTTCAATGGTTCCTAAACAGCTTTAACCCCCCAAATAGAAATAAAACAATTAGTTTTTGGTATGCAATTAACTTTATTTGTCTTAAAAGGCTTGTATTCAGAATTTGTGCAGAGTTTGTTTTAGTTTAAGTTCTTCCCAGTTATAGTTTGTTCTTTCGGTCATGATCTTTTTGCAGCTTTTCATTGGTAAAAGCCATTAAAAAAATCCTTCAAGAAGCGGAAGGTGGGGTGCTGGAGCAGATTGGAGGTCTTAATTCCATTCTGGAATTCCTTGCCCTTCGAAGATGTTTTTTCCTGGCTGACTTCCGAACCGGGAACCAGAAGAGGCAGAGCAGCCAAGTTGACCGGCAGAAGGACATTGGCTTCCCCCCTTTTGACCATCCTTGGACACCTGGTTGGCCAGAGGATTGCGAACCAGGTAGAAGTTGTTCTTCTGCGATGTCTTCTGCTTCTTCTGGGAATTCTCCGAGAGGCCACGGAACTTTCCGAAATACTCGACCTCGACCTTCTCCTGGGATCCAGCTGGTTGACTCACAACCTGGGTCTTGTTCACATAGAAGGGATTCGGGAGCAGCACCAAACTGAGGCCCACTATCTTGGGAAAGTCCGTAAAGGGATTGGGCAGAAAGGGAAACGGCTTGATCTCCTCCTGGATTATCTGCTGGGTCACATTGCCCGTGTTGGTTTCGTTGACATTCACGGTAACGTAGGTGGGTTGCTCCTCCACCTTCTCGAAGGGATTGGGCAGGAAGGGAAAGGGAAGTCCGGGTTTCATGTCACTGGAAAAGAACTGCGTGTGGTTGTGAATGTCATCTAAGGGGCTCACATCGGGTACCAATTGCACCTTGTCGAAGAGATTCTGATTTAGGAACTCGTGCGAGGACTGGAACCCATTGATCACGTCCTGATAGTCAAAGATCTTGTCCAGCTCTGGTTTTCGAGCTTGGATCTTGTTGCCACGGCGGTGGGCATCACAGGGCATTTTGGGCCCCTCTTGCTTTGTTTCTTCCTGCACCTTTAATATCTCATTCGATATCGGTTTTCCTTCTTGGGTAACCTTTTTTGATTCCTTTCCTGAATTGGCTTGGGTTTCCTGGCTCTCACTGTTTACTAATGGTTCAACCTCTGCAGGCTGGCCATCGCCAGAAAAAACGTCCTCGGACTTTTGGACATTGGGGCTAATTTCATGTATGTTAACAACATCCTTTTTGATAGCTTGGGAACTAGGATTCTCTGCAATATCTGAGGTGTTAGTTAGGTTAACTGACTGCGGCTTAGTATCCTGATTTCCATTGGTCACTGATTGGTGAACTTCTTCGGGTATATTAGCTGCAGATGAAGCTGCTTGTTGAGGTTGGTTTTCTTCAACAGCTTGTGCAACTTTGGCTTCTTCGTTTTTGGGTTCTTCTGCCTTCTTTGCCTCGGAAGGAACCACCTGGGAATTGATGGAGCTGTCCGTTTGAGGTTGGGATTCCCTAGCCACTTCAATAACTTTGTCATCAGGCTTTACCGCTTCAGAGCTCGGATTGTTTGAAAGACTTTGGGTGTTGACGGTATCCAACTCATGCTGGTTTCCCTGGTTTTCTTTGGCAATTTCCTGCTTGACTTCTACAGGCTTAACTTCTTCAGGAGTTTTATCCTGCTCTACAACTCTGCCTTGAGTTGCCATTAAAACACCAAGAAGGATCAGAAGTCGTAGGAAATGCTTTTGGAGAAATTGGAAGACAAATGTGTGGTGTTAGTAATGCCAAAAACTCTCTTTCTTGGTTGACCTACCATGATGAGGGTTCCAGTTGAACTGTGCCTATCCACCAACATTCTCGGCTATTTATACCCACCCAGGACAAAGGTCACTTACCTAATCTCTGCAGGAAGTGCTCACCCATCGATCAGTTGGCTTTATTTCAACTATCTCCCATAATAACCCCGGGCACTTTGGGTTCCCTCGCTATTATCGCTGCGATTTGTGTGATTTGTGTTCGGTTCACTTGACTGAAAAAGGCGCCAGTGGCAGGAATATCGGTAAAAATGGAATTGCACTTAAGTTTATATTGTACCAGTGCTATCTGTTCTGCACCCCCCACCCCCCGTCAATTTTTCCCCGGGTTTATTTGGTTCATTTTACGTGCAACATGAAAATGCCATTGTTTCCGAGGCGCACAAACGGAAATCTATGACTCGCTTTTCAATGTTTTTGCTCGATGGAAAACTGCATGGGCGAGTGCAAAAGACTGTCGTCTGCGAGGAAAGTGAGTAGCAGAAGCAGCTTAAGGCTAAAGCGGTGGAAAGCGGGGGGGAAAGTGGGTGGAAAAATCCGGCTGGAATTGGGTTCTCCGGGTGCAAGTGCACATCAGCTGCATATTCATGGCAGGAGCTTTATCTTCGGAACTTTGTCTCCGCCCCATTTCCCTGCTCCTCCACTGACATGTCGCCAGGTGAGCGATGAGTTCTACCTGGTCATTGACATGTCGAGTGAAAAACGGGAAGGAAGACCCTTCCCAGTCAGAACAGAACTTCTCTTTCCATACATCTCCTGCTGGGCTTTGTAATTGAATTGCCGATGCATAGCTCGGATTTTTGGCATACTCCAATTTGATTGAAGGTTCTTGTCGTTGACAGAACTCCCACTGATTTCAATCGATTTTCGAGTTGGTCAGAACGGGAAAACGACAAGGTGGTTGGAGACAAAAAAACAAAAAAGTTGAATAGTTACAGGTAATCTTGAAATAGCAGGAGGGCTAAGCGTTGAATTTAAGAGCTTTGTCAATCAAAAATAAATAAAAAGTTTATTTGTTTACAAGTTTTTAATATCAAACATTTTGAAGATACTTTAATCTAAAGTATACACAGCACAAAAACAGAAAAGAAAATAAATTGAAATGCAAATTCTTGAGAATTCAATTCCAAATGGAGAAACCTCTAATAAAATGTTGCTCGCTCAATCAACTCTGACTAATCAGGAACTCTCTTTCAGATACCAATTTCCTCTGCGCTCAGTTTTCCATTTCGTTTTAGTTTCATTTGCCCAGCTCCATTCATGCATAATTTACACCTGAAAATACAATCAAGGTGCAATTATTTTCTGTTTCCCGGCAATGGAAAGTGTGGCAGTTTCCTCATTGGGTTTTCCCTTTCTCTTTGCCGTAAAAGCAGGCTAAAATCTAAGCACTTGCCAGTTAAAAAATTCAAAGAGTGGAAATGAAGCCAGAACTATTTGAATCCGAGGAAGCCGAAGCGCAACACGAAAATGAGGATGAAGTTGCTGCTGGGCCAAGAAATGGTTTCGCGCAACGGCGGATGAGCTGTTGAAATTGCAAGTGCGGCACTTGCTCAATTTTTCATGAGCCTCCCACTAGTCGGTTCAAGCATTTCGCTTCTGGGGTTATAGAACACCCATCCGACTATGAGTTACTCTCATAGAGGGAAAAATTTAAACATTTATTACTGCATTTTCTGGGGAGCATTATTTTAACCTAACCTAAGCATATAAGAATAACTTTGTGATGAAAGATATTTCACAGATAGGATACCCTCCTCAATCCTAGTTTACTGAATTGAAATACTCTAAGTTCCTCAAAGATACCCTCTCGAAAATGATCTCCTGCAGCAGCTGAAGACTTTAAAGCTGAGGCCAAGGAATTCGCAATAGCCGCAAAAGGAGCAAAAGTTCAGAGGGGAAGGGGCTGGGGGAATGTGGATCTGTGAAAAGGCGAAATTAGCGGGCAGTTCCCTGAGCTCCGTGAACACCCATCCAACGGCAAACATCCAGCACCCAGAACCTGAGCAACCTGAGCAACCCGAGCATCGTGGCCAGACAAAGAGGCGAGCTGCGGCCCTTGACTTGGCCAACTCCCAAGACCAAAGACCCCGGATCCGAAGGCACACGAAATAATAAGGAATGAATGTAAATAAATGGTGCTAGGGGTAATGGCAACGAACGAACGACAAAAACAGAAAGCCCAAGAGGGGCGAATGGGGTAAGGGGCGGAGGGGGCCAGAAGACGCCCAAGGCCAACGCAGCATCATCATCATGGTCAGCGAGATAAGCCCGGACCTGGATCCGAGTGCCAGTGCCAGTGCCAGTTGCAGTTGCAGTTTCAGTCCCAGTTCCAGGCGAGACCTACGTAGCACGGCAGCCCATGACACTCGAGGGAAGACTAACAGCACCCACATATACAGTTCTAATTTATATTTTTTAACATTTTAATTGAATCCATTTTTTAAGCTTAAAGCTTTCAGATACTAACGAATTTTATAAGTGTTCAATTTTTTTAAAAATAATTCTTGATAATTACTTATTTTTGTAAGAAAGATATGCTTTACGATTTTGAGAAAAAGCCATAATTAAAATTAAACGAATGCCTCCAAATCCTAAATGTCATTGTTAAAGTCCACGTCTTTAAATCCATATTTTTTATAGATTAGAGCTCCACTCACCTATCTTTTTGTGACTTTATTTTAGCCATTAATAAAGGCAGCTCCTGGGTAACTTTTATTAATACTTTGATTGCTCGCACTCCTATTAAAAGAACCCCTGCTGTGCCGCAGGAGATTCTTCTGGCTGAGCTCCTCGGCTCTTTTCTCCTTATTTTTTTGGGCCGAACTCTTTCATTTTGGGTGTGTGCAGTGCGGCGTCGATAAGATCAACGTGTGAGCCCGGGCCAGCCAGCCTGGGCTGTGGCATCTGCAGCAGGTGTTTCGCTTTCAGGTGCTGCCACACAATATGGGTAACAAGTTGCACCATCCTGGCCAAGTTTATCGCCACATAATTCACACGCGGAGCCCTCAGCCGGGGAGGCCGCATCCGAATTGATTGACTCCCGCTGGTTAGTGTTCCGAGTGGGAGTGGGAGTGCGAGGTGAAGTGGAAGTGGAAGTGGTGGGGTGGGAAAATGGAAAAATCAAATATCCCCGGGGCGGGGTATCCAGTATCCACCATCCACCTGCAACACTCAGCCAGGACCACGCTCCATCGGGCAAATATGGCAGGCGACACAAAGCCTCGCTGGCACTTCCCACATCCCACATTCATCACATCCGCATGCCGGTGCCATCAAGATCTGGCCATCGTCGCCCGTCCTCGTTTAGAATTCAAAACATTTCAGACAAATTGCCGTTGCGCTTTGAGCTCCAATGTGTGACAAAATGGAAGGCAAACAGACCGTACCAGGATCCCCATCCCCATCCTCACTCCTTTCCAGCTGGACAATGCAAGAGTGCAGCGGCGAGTGCGCCGCCCTTGTTTAATTTATGCCAAAACATTTCTGAAGCGACGTTGACGACGTCATTTGGCCCGAACCCGAACCGGCTCACATTGGCCCACAGCAGTTAGCCCTGCTCTCGGATCGGGGATCTCGGATCTGGCCTGGGATTTAGGTGTCACTTGATATGCAATAAATAAGCTGCTGGGAAAAGTGTTAACGAGCCTGCGGGGAGGGGACTGGCCATAAGTGGTGCACAGAGAGGAAAACCTAATACTTTTGAGCTTAAAGTTTAAGCCAATTTTGAGATGGGAATATTTAATGGAAGCAAGGAGATTAATCTACTTGATTAAATATTAATTATTATTACCAATTATTTTGAATACAAATTTAGATTGCAATTAATAATAATAGTTCAAGATACTAATATCAATGCTTTTAAAAATATTCCAAATATTCTTCAAGTTTAGGCAACAAGTAAAGGATTTTATATATCCAGCAAGTATTAAAATTATTCAACAAATTTGCTGATTTATCTGTAAAGACAGCAATACCTTTTCCGTAGTAATAACCAAAATTTTCTCAGTGCTTGGGGGAAGCCTCTGGCGAGGGCCTTTGGACTCCAGAGAGAGCTACTTTTGTGCTGTCTGTTTTTCCAGCAGCTTGCAACGCCTTGGCGCCACAAAATAAACGCCATTCATGGGGCAACGTGCAACGACAAGAATGTGACCCATTTTTAGCACCAGTAGCCATTCTCACCTCCCCAGCTCCCCAGCTGCCCCCTCCCCGAATTCCCCGCCCAGCAGAACCCAAGTATGAGTATGCTGTATGCTGTTGTTTGTTTAAATGTTTGCCCATATATGGTACAGCCAGCTATATAAATATGTGAACAGCTTTTAGCACCTTGCCCCCGCACTCGAGTGGAGTTCTCAAGAGGCTGGGGCGACAGTTGAACGTGTCCCACTGCCATTCCCATTCCGGCTCCCAGTTGGCAACTCGTAGTTCCCAGTGCCGCCCGGAGATCCCCGGAGAATCACCCGGAGCACGTGCGTCCGCCAGACAATGGGAGCTCAAGAAACGTCTCCTCTCGACCCGTCAGCTAATGTGAAAAAAATCACAAAAATGGGAACGGGTATGGAAACTCTGGTTGCTGCACTGCTTCTTTTTCAATAATAATTCCCTTTGGATTCGAGCAGCCGGCTATATTTTCTTTATTTTTTATTCGCCGTTTCATTGTTACACAGTAAAGAAATTATGATTGTTTTAAATTGGAAACAAAATTTGTTAAATTTTCCCATTAAACCAAAAGAATCATTGAAGTATAACAGAATTTGTTTATGTCGATAGGCAGATGGCAAAGGCTGATTAATATTTTTAACATTTTTATACGTGCGCTGAAAAACTGACTTTATTTATCATTAAGTTAAAATCGTTTATTATTTTCACTCATTTATGAACGAAAAACCGATGTACCAATAAAGTAATTACAATAATTACTTAATAAAAACATCAGTTTAATCAAAAGTAAAATGCATATTTTTCTGTGTGTTCCTCGCAAGGCGGGGCCATTTTCAATTAAGCAAAATTAAAAATTTATAACGAGCGACGACCAAAAGAAAACAAAGGATCGGAAACAGGAACAGCTTCGCCGGGCGGGCAG